GGCAAAGGCCATTTGACCATTTGACTAAGCAGGGCTGCAAACCGGTTTTGAACCGAACCGGTTTTTGAACCGAACCATCGCTTTTTTGGGGCTTCGAACCGAACCACGAAGCGAACCATTTTTATTTTGAAATGCCTAAACCGAACCGAAACCGTCCCCAAAAAATGGTTCGGTTCGGTTCGGTTCGGTTCGGTTCAAAATCCACTAAAGCATTTTGCAATACACAACTTTGTCTAAAAATGCAACACTATGGTAAAACTGCAAACATTTTTGAGTACTTACCGGAATTAAACAAAAGGTGTTAGAAGTCCTTAGGCTTAAATAAAGCTCTGAACTTTCGACTACAATCCCTAGAAATACAATCCCAGCTTGACCCCAAGGTCACTTATTTATTGAACAGCAAAAACTGATTTTGGCACAATTATTTGTTTCAATAACACAATTTTCCAGTATTTTTTTATTGTTCAGCTTTAACTTTCAAAATCAGTGCAACACTGATTATTGCAATTATTCTCTCAAGTATTTTCTGTTTGTACCAGTTTACCTGTTTTCAGCATGGAGCAATTTTCTGCGAAATTATTAAAATTTAAATTATTTGGCGTTACATCATCAGATGGCTCATCTGAAAAAGAAGTTTTCCCATCAGGTAAATAGAAAGAAAGTTTGCGGACCGTGTGGAAGTAAAATAACTTTCGGAAAAAAGGATCCAGGATAAATATTTCGAAAGACGGAACAGCTCCAATTTTAAATTCTATGTATTTTTAATCGGGCAGTGATACCGAGTCATCCCAATCAAGCCGATTTTTGATCAACTTTTTCGCCATTTTGTCCGGTTCAGGCACAGCGTGCGCACTTTCATTGCAAATTTGTTAAACGTTACAATAATTTTTCTTTGTATAAGCAATTGTTCTCCTTATACATATACATACATTCATACATCCATATAAATTATAATGCAGTAAAAAGCTAGCAAAAAAATTAAATGCTCAATTCGGGCAAACTGTCAAGCACAAAACATATGAAATTTGTAGTGAAATGGTACTGTACGTACGTGTATGTGAGTATTTGACAAACTAACAACGCAGTCTTCTCCAAATGTAACCCTTTTTCGAGTGCGGCGGCTTCCTTCGAATGGATTCGACATAAGCATATCTACGAGTATGCTTGACTGTATTACACTTTGCATATTTGTGTGTGGTAGCAATTTGTTTACCACACTTAATACAGATGTAAATACGTGCAATGCATAAAAACATTCTTAAATGCATGCATACATACATACATACATATGTACATATGTTTTTTAAGCATTTGTATTATAAATCATATAATGTTTGCTTAACTGCTAGAATTACAGCCAAATAAACATTCATAATAACGTCTGCAAAAACCGCATCTACATTTGTAGTGGTATTCATACAAACGAGTATGTACATCAAATTTATGTATGTACTTGTGTAGCTATGAATAATAGCATAGGTACTTGGCACATTCGCATTCACTTGCTTTTCATTTGATTAGGCATCCGCAGTTAAGAGTGGGTGATTTAGGATTTACCGAGATTAGTTCATGTGCCTATTTATACATATAATTTGTGTAGGAAAAGCAACCGGAAATAAAGGAATGTAATGCTTCAAAAGCCGAAATGCTGAGCTCCTCTTTTGCTAGTACTTATACCTATTTACACCGGTACGTGAGTATGTACTATGTAAAGCGGAAATCCAAGCAAGAAACTTATACTAAAAAGACGACAAAGCAAATCAACACCACGATGCTAAACGATGGTTCGTAGACGATGTTCCTTATTATTAAAAAGTGTCATTTGTACGCCATTTTTGGTTTTCGTAAGATTTTCTTGTCAGTGAAAATGGAAATTTTTGATATTTTTCCAGTATACGGGAATACCCTTAATTATTAAGCTTATTTATTTTATTTTATTTTATTATTGTAATACAAAAACAACAACCATAAGTTATTTTTCGAGTGTTTGATACTTAATTATTATGTAGTTAACCGAATGGAAAAATACTTAAATGACCTATTGATAGGAATGTTATTTTATACGTAAATACATAAAAGACTTACATAACTAGAGGGCTATAACAACATTCAAAATTACAAAGCCTGGGAAAGCTCGTCATCTTACAAAAACCATGTAAGTCAAAATTTTAAACTTAGTACAAAAATTAGGAAAATTCTACAAATTTCTATCAAAATTTTGAGCATCTTATCTAAATTTCTAAGAAACCTTCTGAGTACGCAGTTTTGTAGCCCGTTAAATTTTAGTTTAATAAAGTGCGAATACCTAGGATTTTTTTTTGTTGCTCATTTTCTCCATACAAAAAAAATTTTCGAACTTACTTTGTATGGAAGAAAGTGGGTGAACAAAACATTAACGGTACGAAGTTCTAGCTACAAAAGTACTGAAAAACTTCTAAAAAAAAACTGAAAACTGAAAAATTTCTAAAAAATCGAAATGAAAAGTTTAAAATTTTCATAAAAATTTGCTAAAACTCGTCGAATTTTTATAGTTTTATATTCTTCTTCTTTCTATTTGAGCCGAAAGGAGTGTTACTCAGGTGTACGTGGCGTATGAGTAACATTCTTTCCTGCTCATTTTTCAAATAAAAAATCTTTGCGTATTTTCATTTGACCACTCATTACTTCTTTATTTATCGATCGATTTTCTCCATTTGTAACTTGATTTCGTTCAAAAACGGCTAGCAAATGCAAAAATTTGGCACAGAGCCTGTTAGTTTAAAAATTTTTCTTCTGTTAAAGTTTGATTTAGTTTCATTTTTTCATAAAAAAATAAAAATAAAAACTGGAATTATTAATTAATTTAAAAGAAACTGTCAGTCCTATCGGAAATGTATATGTATATATGGAGAATTTCATTAGCTTTGATTTAACGTCTCATTTTATGATTGTTAAATTGGTTCGTAAGATATACGTGATTAAGTGGTACCACTATTTGTTTTAAGCTAAATAACGGTAAATTGCAAATATCTCGAAAACGTGTCCATATAAAAAAAAATTAACTCCATTTTCGGAATACATAGAAATTGGATAGTGGCCAAACCAAAAATTTGCGATCCAGTGTAATCAATGCCATCTAATCCACACCGTTCGTTTGATTTTCTAAAATGAGGTGTCAAATTAAGTAGCTTGGACTGCAGATATGCAGTAAGGTATTATTTTTTTGAAAAGAGTTGCCACCTTTTAAAAATTATATTCAAATTAGTAAAAAAAATAAAATAAATAAATTTTTACAAACTGGGTATCAATCGAAATGATTTTGAAAAGCTTTGTTTCTTAGCTTAACTATAGGAGGGTGGCCATCTATTTAAAAAAATCAAATTCAGTTTGAATTAAGGGAATTAGGTAAGAGAAATACATATTTATCACCATAAATAAAATGTATCACTAATAAAATAATATGTATCACTAATAAATAATAATAAAGCTGGTTCCATAGTAAACGAAATTTTCTACTTTCTCGAAATTATATGTAACTGTCAACAGTGATGTGAGTGCCAAGGCGCGAATGCGCTGACTGTTTCTTTGAAGACAGAACATACTTCATCATGTCCTCGTTTACTAGCAGACCCATTCGCTTTGCGAATATGACACAGAGAAAGATTTCAGCTGTCTAAATAAGGAACATTTTCTCTATGAAAAGTTTCTAGACTAATACTCGGTTTCACCAGCAATTTAAATGGAAAATGTTTTTTTATTTTCTGTCAGTTTACATATAAAATATAAACACGTTAAAATAATTTTTTATTTAAGATTCAGTTAGTATATACTTAATTAACGTAACGTTACCTAATATATTGGACAAAGCAATACATTTTCGTTCGGGAATTTTTTGATGTGGGTTTTAGGCTGAAAAGGAAAATTCAAAAACAAAATAGTTTCGCCTCTGGCTAAGTTGACGTGTTGAGTAATCATTGACGATGCCTTACGTAAGTTAAATTAAGTCTAGACTAACCATACCTTTAAATTGCTTTCGTGAAATTGGCTGTAAGAGGTAGAACTGACGAAAACACGAAGAAAAGTCCGTAGAGATTCCTTATTATTTTGTGTGAAAATTCTTATTGATTCTATTTATAATAATATCTTCTAAGAAAATCTGCTTGATTGTATCCTTTAAAAAAAATATTCTCAGTTTTATGTGAAGTCGTCTTGAATTCATTTAAAGACATTTATGCCAAGTATTATTAAATAGAAAAGTGTCGGCGACGCGATAACCGTAGCCGAATAGGAAGGGCTGTTAAACTGCCCTTCAGTAGGTCCCAGGTTCGAGGACGGGTTGGTTTTTTGCATTTTCTATTTTTTGCTTTTAATTAGGTAACCTAATAAAAATCGAGAAAATTCCTTCTTAATTTCATTGAAAAGATAATCCTATAAGAAGACTTTCTTCTTGAAGAAAACCCATGGAATATGTATCTCCTAACGTTTGTTCTATTTATTAGGTAGTTTTCGCTCTGTGTAAACGTGAGCTTGTTTAGCTAAACGTTTATGCTACTCCCTTCCCAGCACAAAAGCGTTAAAAAGCACATGGTCATAGTTTTGATAAAAAATAATAGGTAAACAGTTTTGCGAACCCACGAACAACTTTGGCTTCTGACAACATAATAATACAATCCAGTTGATCTGTCACCTCAATGCCATTATCCACCATTTGTCGCGTTTTCTTCAAGCAGAAATCAACAGCTGCATTGCATCAGCAACGCATCGGGACGCGTACGCGAACCCCCCCACACACACACACACACACACATATATTACAGCATCAACAAAGCCCGTCTAACCTTCCACTCAGCCGTGAGACACACATTTGTATGACAAATTGAAGAAGAAACAACAATGCAAGCATACACAGGTGACCACGACAAATGAAAGTGTACCCAGTATTTTTGGCTTTTTTCTGGTTAAACACAACTTGCTGCACCATTGTGCATGTGATTGGCTATAAAAAAGAGTAGAAAATTAACATTTAACGCATTTGAAACTCTTAGAACCACCCGCATGGGAGAGCTTTTCGAAAGCTCAATAGCGCAGCAGTAGCAGCAAAGGATAACTGGTGGCAAAGCAAGCGGGTCAGGCGGATAACGGAGCACGTACACAAACATTTTCTATCTTAAATGGCGATGCTGGCAGAGAAACGAATTCAGTTGCTCGCGACAACCGAAAGGAAGCTAACGAAGTGCCGCACAGCGCGGAATACTTACTACTAGTATTACTTTGCCAGCTGTTGTGAAGAAGTTGTTGGTGAGCAGGCAAGCTGCAGAGCAAAGTTGGGGTATAACTATTACAGAAAAGTAGCAACACAGTAGCAAAACTAAAGTGAAGCAAAAAAAAACATATGTACATTCAACAAAAGCAATAGCAGCAAGCAAAAGCAAAACAGCAGCAAAAGCAAAATACTAGGTGTGCAAAAGGTGAAAATAAAAAAGTAAAAAAAACGAAAAAATATGGCAAAATGTTTTCAGCAATTTGTGGAAATTGTAGAAAATACGAAAAATACGAGAGATGCGAAAAATAGTAAAAAAAAAATAGCATGACGCCAAAAAACGTGTATAGTGGGAAAAGTAGTAATTTATGTGAAAAATATGCAAAATGAAGAAGCTACCTTAGCGCTTGTAGATTTCTACATAAATATGTATGTACATACATATATACTCGTACATTAAAACAGTGTCGCGAGTGAGCGATTCAGTAAGTGGGCGACCAGTAAGTGGGCGGGTGAGTGCGAGAGTGACAAGCATGGATGGTACTACTTTCATTGGCACAGCTATAGTGGCGTGAATAGTCAGTCAGTCAGTCAGTTAGTCGTCAGTTGGGGAACTCGGCTACAACTGATGCGTGATTTACGGGTGCTTCACTGGGGCGAAAACCACTAGTTCAAGTACGAAAAATAAAATACAGAAAACATAAATAAAAAATATGAAAATGATGTGAAATATGCTACTTGCCATACTACATATATACATATATAGGCAAGTTGGCAGTGAAAGCTCGCAGCGCGAACGAGTATAATTTTGTGGCAGCGCATCGAAGTGTTAACTTGAAATTCCATCTCATGAATGAATGAATTTGTATGTATGCATGTTGCATATGCTGAGGCGCACGAGCAGGTATCTATGTATGTGATGTATGTATGTGTGTGTAAGTGCGCTTGTGCTTATGATTGTGCTGGCGCGCTGATGTTTGCGCTCTATTGTGCCTGAAAGGCGACGTGAAAAGGCAATGGGTTATACAAGTTGTTTGCATACAAAGCAGAATGGCGAATGAGCAAGCTTAGAGTGCTTGAAAAAATAGAACAACAACAACAACTAGAAGAACAGCAGCAAGGCAATAACAACAACATAAAACATAGTAAAAAGGCACTAGCGACTGCAACAACAAAGGCAATAGCAGCAGCAGCGTACAAAAGTGCCGTTGTGCGCCACAGAGTATGCAACGCAGAAGGCAACTAAAAGCAAAGCAGCGAAAACTTGAGCGCTCATTCAACTTAATGACAACACAATGCCGATTTAATTGACAAGTTTTATGTGCTTTGCCAGCAACAACAACAACAACAAAAAATCACAACCACAACAACCAAGCAGGAAATTTACGCAACTTTAATATGTACACCGCAAAACTTTGTTGTGGTTACGAAGGGCCGCCAAAGGCAAGCGATTTTTTATGAGGTCAGTCGCAACAGCGGGAAGCCTCAAATTTTTGCTACATACAAAAATAATAATCATAATAAAATCCGAATAAACTGCGGTTGGTATCTGGTGTAGCCGCCGAGTATTGCAGACTTGGCTTGCCGCTCGTATAAGCCTGCTTGACGTCTGTGGTTTCGTCCTTTTTTATTTTGAATTCCTGTTTTGTTGTGTTTCACTGTATGCGTCTGTGTGTGTATCTATAATTATTTCGACTGCTTTTGTTGTGCTAATAAACAAGCAAACAAACAATTTACATAGCATAAAAGCAACAAAAACAAGACAAGCTTGACACTTAAGCTGTACATAATTTATCTTCAAGTGCCCATGTTGGCTGGCGTGTTAAACAAGCGAATGCGAAAGCAGAAGAGCGGCATACCACTGGGAGGAATTAATGAAATACTCTAAAATCATTTACAACAAGCTTTTTTGTCATAAAAAGGCACAAAAAAAAAATAAAATAAAAATTCTTTGCTGGGTGCTTTTATGCGATGGTGAAATGAACTAAAAAAAAATACTTTTCTGAGAGTATGTTAAGTACTAAAGTGACGAAGAACTTAGGCGATTAGTTTTAGTCATCTCATTGTTCCTTTATATTTATTAACTTATAATTGCTTTCTTTTTTACTGCTTCTGGCGCAAGGAAATAAGTTATTTGCAAGAATTTGTATATAATTTGTACTAATTGTTGAATTTCCGTAATTATTATTAATTAGTTACAACCTTTTTTTTGCCATTTTTGACTTTACCAAAAAATTTGAGGTATTTTTCCTCTTGGTAGTTTATGGGTTTCAACCAACCTGACGCATAGTGTGTCGTGTGGAACAAGCTAGGTGGACCTAATTCATTCCCGGATTTCCAGAAAACTTTTCCAGGTAACTTTTTAACATAAAAGACATCTCCAAAGCTCCGACTGTAAAGTTTTTGTATGTCCTAAATTTTACTGTGGGGTGTAACAGTGTTCAGAAATCAATGTATAATCTTACTGAAAATCAAAAATATTCAAGTTGATTTTCTATACTTAAAAAAAAACCTCTCACATTGCGAAGGTGTGTAATTTTGTGTATATTTTCAAAAGTGAATCGCTTTTTTGGTGGTTTTAAAGGTCCGAAGGTATGGTACTATCTCGGAGCTAGATTTCGATAGAAATTTTCACCTCTACAGCTTTCTTAAGCTACGCGATGCTATGAAAGCTATTAAAAAAGATATGAAGAAATTTATCTACAATAAATCAAAAAAATAATATTAAAAAATAACTGCATATGAAGTTCTCTCGCAAATAAAACAAAATGTTAATTATATTTTTTTTTTGTAAAGTCATTATAACGGGCACCTCTATGATAAAAATGTGTAAAGTTACGTGTTAGACTTATCAAACGCTGGGCGCAACTCGTGGTTGAAAAATCTACTGAAGCCTCTGTACGTCTTAGGGGCAGCGGACAATGTTGAGTATCCATATCGCCACATAATTATTTTAAACTTTTTTTACCGTATATGCCTTTTATCTGAAAAACTACTATGCGCAACAGGCAAGTTGTTAGCAAAAAATTTAAAACTTAAGGCAATTGGAAAAGGGTTATTATGATTGTGAATTTGTGAAACGTTAATAAAGTATTAGCTCTGTTCCTATTTGTGAAAGGTAAACATACTTTGCATAATTTATACGTACAACACCTCAAATAAAAGACCATATCACCGCAACCTATATATCACTACAACAAACCCAATCTAATAAAAGAATATAATACATATAGGAATGGGTGAAGCGATCCAAGGAGAGTTGTTGGCCTTTATGGACTTCTGCTTAGAAGTCTACTATCATTTAAGGTATGGCAACTTTCGACTGAAGACCGGGCCTCTTCTTAGTTTTCCCTACTTTTGGCTTCAGATACTTTTATCATCTGTCTTGCCCCTCAACCTTACTCATGGAGATGTGGATTGTGCCATAAACTTATAATATGTATGAAATATATAGATGCAACGTTGACCTTCGTACACATTGTTCTCAGTCCAACTATTTAAAATAGAAAGCTCCATGAATATTTTGTTTTCACATATTTTTAATTTTTTTTTTGAATAAAATAAAATAAAAATTTGGTTAGACCCAGTGTTCGAAAATGAAAAATCGCAAAATTTTGTTTCCAACAAATTCGAGTTTAGCTACCCATTTTTACCTCAGTATGGAAATCCATCAAGATATTATAAAAAAAAACCGTCGGTCCGATATGGGTTAAGATTGCGGCAAAGACAAATAAAGATAAAAACAAGGAAAAAGAAAAATTTTCGAATAAAATTTTTCATATGTATGTATCTAAATTATTTCAGTTACCACAATCCAATGGTTAATTTTGTATACATATCATCACCGTTATACTAGAAGCATGGATGTGCAAATTTACCTATTTTGGGTTATTGTTTTGACGTGATTAACCTTTGGATGTTCTATACCATGCGTACACGGAAACTGCATATTTTACAATGTCAGTTACATAAATGTATAGTTAAGTCTCATAAAAAAAAAGCTTTCAAACTTGATTTCCCAAAATTCCCAAAAAAATGTGCGTGATTCGAAAGTTGCCGTCGGTAAGTCGCCCGCCCATCTCTAGTAGTAGTATCAGCTGTATAATAAATACACATCTACATACATATATATTGTATATAAGTATAACAAATTGCACCTAAATATCCCTACCTCAGTATAGAAAGGCCCTATCTAAAATTTGTGTGTTTTTACCAAGTATTTACAAAATTTTATAAAAACTTAAGTTCGTCAGTTGAAAATTCCTTCAAAATTCTGCTACTAATTTATTGCTGTTTTTAAATTCTATTAGACCTTTAGTGAGTAATCTACCGACCTTTGTGCAAAGCTGATTATCGAAAGAAAATTAGTTAAGGCTTTTCTATATTACGGCAACGATATATACATACGTAACATAAATACATACATATGTACATAGGTACATATGCCGTTGTATATTTGCCATTTGCAATCGAAAGTTTTTGCTTTCATAGTAGTGCTACTTACATACGTTTGTCTGTATTTACCGCCTTGTACAATAGAAAGTTCAAGGAAGTTCTGCAATAAGCAGGAAGAAAGGACATTGCAGTCTACTTTAAAGTTTAATGAGGTGCAAATGAAAGCAAGTACTTTGAGTAATATTTGATTCGTAAAAACAAAACAAAAAAGCAATGAAAGGAAAAAAGCAGTAAAGGGAAATGATACTGATATAAGAAGAAAATTTTACGCTTCAGTACGTTTTTTTTTTTTTGGAAGAATGGTATTTTAATGNCCACATACTTCCTCAAGCAGTAGTTCAGACATAATTCAGTGACATGCACTTCGACCTCAAAGACAGAGTTAACTCGCCGCATGTTAGCGAAAAGGAGCCTTTTGGGTTGATGCCGACGCCATGATTAACCTTGGAGCCGTCAGTATACCAAATGTGACTGTCCTTCCGAGGTTTTGGTTATTCGTTGTCGCAGTTCATTTTATTTTGGAAGAAGACCGTGAAATTATGTCTAAAGTTAAACCTCGGTCCACAAAGCTAATGCGCAGTCCTTTATGTTGTCCTTTGACCTGAGAGAGGCAAGTGTAGAAGCGCCTCGAGAGCACCTTTTGGTGTTGTTCTTATCGCGCCACTAATGTTCAGGCAGGCTAGTCTAGTTGACTCTATTTCTATCTAGATAGGTGCAGTATATGCAGTCTAGGTCTGATGACCCAGTTTCGAC